GCCCCCTGCGTTGATGAATTTAAAAAGGGGCAGCTTGAGTTAAATTCTGGTAGATGGGAAGTAATTTTTGGGGAAAATTAATTGGGTAAACAAACAAAGCTATTTACAGGGTGGTATGGAGTTGCGGTCGACAAGGTGACAGAATGGAAAGATGAAGTAGGAACTGTTAAAAGAATGACAACATGGTGATTAAATTGATTGACAGCAGGATCAGCTTGAGAACATGAGTTTGCAAGGCGTTTTGCTAGGACGTCTTGTAACTAGTTAACATGGGATCAAAAAAAAAAAACTATTGTTCTCCACTTAGCGGTCTTGGGTGAAAAAAAAAAGAATGAAAATAGCGCGATGGTGAGTGAGTGAAAAAACAAAATGCCTGCAGAGTATTCAAGCTTGGTGTATGGACAAACTACATCAAGGGAATTTCTGCAAGTGTAAAAAAAAATGAACATATAAAAACAAAGAAAAACATCACATTAAAAAAAGTTGACAAAGATATGGGTCGCGCTGGTGGTGAACAGATCCGCAAAGATGGTAAGGTTTGGTGAAAGGCAAGGTAATTTCGTGGTTGTTGAGAGAAAACAATTGCAGAAGTTGAGAAGTGTGAAAATAAAAATGGTGAAACAAAATTAAAATATTGTTACGTGTAAAAAGGCCTCTGAACGGTTAAAACCTCCGCCAATAGATGGCGCTTTCGCCGGATTCCCTTGCTGGCTGATGAGGGAGTCGCCGACTGCTGTGGTCCCGTTTCCTGGGGAGGTTGGATGTAAATACGCTTTTGTGTTGGCCCCAGGATGTAGGGTCATGTAAATACCCATTGTCTGTTGTTTTATTTAGATTTAATGTTAGTAATAGATGACAATAAAAGAAGTGCTTCAAGTCTCCGTGCCGCCTCCTGTCGTTACTATCGCCACTGCCATCGTCACCGGGCTACTGCTGCTGCTAGTACTCTTCTGGTAAGTCTCTCGTGTCCCCCACCAGTGGTAAGGCCGAGAGATACTGCCAGAGGAAGGGAGTTTCCACAGGAGAGGTGGAACTCAGGAAGTCTTTGGGTGGCGTGCGGGAAAGGCCGCAAGGAAGAGCAACCGGAGCCCGAGTAGGTGAACCACGAATGGAAGAAGCGCGTTGGCGCAAAGAACCAGAGGGTAAACATGCGACAATATAATGATATTTACAAAAGTGGGACAATGGAAAAACATTGATTAAAATTTGTAAACAAGTCCACTTTAGGTTTTAAAGATCGCATGAAAAGATGTTGCAGTGGTAACATAGGGTGAAAAAAAATGTGTGGGTACATAGGTTGACAAACGAATCAATGTGCAGCATTGCGATAAGACATTGATTTTAAGGGAGATAGTTGCGAGGTAGTATGGTACAATAAGTGGAGTACAAATATTTAAGGTTGGAATAAGCTATCTGTGATCTAAGGGAAATAGTTGTCAGGACGTAGGTGGTGGGAGAGTTCTAAATAGACGTTGAAAGGTTTCTACTATCGAAATACAGATGATGGTAAGTAGTTAGAAAATGGCTTCTTGTAGTTGAAAAAGTCTATCAGTTTCTAGTGCATATATTCCTATGTAGTTAAGCGTGATTAGCGGGACGGTGGAGAAGGGCATTGTTAGCGTGTAAATTAGGGGAATTAAGTGGAAAATAAAAAAATGTTTTCATATTGTATCCTATATTTTTTATGAGAGAGATTAGTTGTGGGCTGAGCCATTTATGTTGGAGGGTTGATGACTTGACTTGGGACCGGGTTGGTTCATGATTGATTTGTAGCTGGGAAGCTGGGAAGCATTGTTACTTGAAGTCGGTTCTACTTGGATTAGGGTGAAAATTTTGGGTTAGAGGTAGAAGAGGTTGGCTGCTGGCTGGTTTGATCGGGAGTTGGTATTCTTGGAACAAGTCCGGTGAGAGATATCGGAACGGAAATAAGTCATTATCTTTGGGTTGAACATAATGGGCTTGCATGGTGGGGGGTACTATATGTGGGACGCTTTCTGTGTAGGGCCTGAGTGTAATTATTTTGTCAGACGTAGTGATAATTTTGACGGGGGGGGGGGAATGTTTAAAGAAAGTGGGGACATCAAATTTGTTTTCAGAAAATATGTGTTGATAGTTATGCAATAGGAGATTAAATTGGGTCGGAAAATTAGGGTGAGACAATTCAGTTCGCGCATCAGTTAGCTGGCAATTAGGGTTAACAAGGGTTGTGGGAGATAAAAAAAATAGCATGGACATTTTTCTGAAAAGGAATAATTATTTGTGGTTAGTGCATGTGCTGATTGGTTGCAACGTGAGGGCAGAGATGTTTGGGATGCCTTGAAATGTCGCTGGCATTCCCAATAAGCACATGCACGTGGAACAAGGGAAAAATTTACACATTTTTAGCTAAGGGTGAGTTATTTTGAAGTATAAAGAATTCGTGAAAATTAATTTGCAGTTTAAATTTTTTAAGCGTATCTATTGAAAGTATACCCAATGGAAGCATAGCATCTATGACATAAATTCTGATATTTTCTGTTATTTTGCCTAAGGTTAGCGGAAGATAAACATAGCCTGCGGTGGTAATACTTTAACAGAACGAGGTCTCCGATTTCAAAGTTAGGTGTTTTGTGATTGAGATCAAATTTTTGTTTATCTTTGTCGTGTTTCAATTGTGTGCGTTGGTATCGCTAAATTTACATTTTGGCAGAAACGCTTTTAGATATTAATACAGTAAATAAACAATGGAGTTTAAAATGCAAATTTTTAAAATAAAAACATTAAGTAATGAAATTAAATGAGAAAAATATCAAAATATTAAAAGTTTGGGAATTTAAACACAACATGGAAATGTGAAGCCATAAGGTATTGCGGTATATTGAAAATATAGTGGAAATATGATTTTTTTTTAAATGTTAAAGATATTTTAATAAAATATTGAAGGTGTGATAAAATAGGTAAACTTATTTTGCTATTGTCCTCTTGGCTGACTGTTTTACATATGGTGTTTAGAATTTATTGTTGTAAATGGTTAAACCTAATTGCAAATTTTCAAAAGTAAAATATGGAATGTGAGATATATTTTAGGTACAAATTATGCAGAGCAAAATAATGTTCAAAAGGATTAAAGGTGTGGTGAAATTTAAAAGGCAAAACAATTATGGCAAAATTGATATTTAAAATTATTTGAGAAAAAGGGATATAACTAAGAAAATAGGCATTGTAAATTGTTTAACAGCAAGCAATAACGCGCCATCTATACATATAAAATAAGATAATTTAAAAGCGCGAATGTTTCTTTTGTACATAAAACGAACTTCTACTGTCCTTACTGAGATGAAAAAATATAATAAAACACAAAAAGTGAACTATTTTCAGTCTAAACAGTCTCGAGCTATCCGGGTAAGCTTGATTCAGCTTCTTTTATTTCAATGTACTTTCTCTTCTTTATACTTCGATTATATCCTCTTTATACTTCCGATTTTATCTTCTTTATACTTTAGGCCTTATATTCTTTATACTTTAGGGCTTTATCTCCTTTATACTTTAGGCTTTATCTTCTTTATACTTTAGGCTTTTTCTTCTTTATACCCTCAGGCTTTATCCTCCCTATACTTTAGGCTTTATCTTCCAGCTTCCTATGAACCTCTCTTGCCTTTTCACGTGGACGTGGACCAAGGCTCTCGCTGACAGTAAGAAAACAAATTAACTACTTATGTTTGGAAGCCTTCTTTTATAGCTTCCACGGGTACAGGTAGGTCACTGCCCCTTTCTGATGTAACCAGTGGAGGAAGGTTACATCAGCCATGAGTGACAGGACCTCGTAAAACTTGGACTGGATTTCTGAAGCATCGTTTCCTAATTTGTACTAGGCCTGATTAGTTCTAGACTTATATTTCTCTGTAATTCTCCATTCCCCCTCTATGTTTTGCCCATAGATTTGGCCCAGCCACATTGCCAGCAAAACACCTCTTTGGTAGATTGTGAGATTCCATTAGATCCGTGTGGATCTCATGGAATAAAGTCCGCCCTAGACTGACGAGGGCCATTAGCCCGAAACCATGGTCTCTAGGTGGGACGCTTATCAGTTTGCCAAAGTGGTGTTGTGGCTTTGTCACCGACCCGATGCCGCTAGTTGCGGCGACGGTCAATAGATGGCGTCAGATTCTGACGTTTATTTTGACGGGAGAGGCGACCATTGCTTCATGGATTAATTTACTCCCGGCAAATTTTCCATCTATATATATATGTGTGTGATATCTTAGGACCTCTCGGACAGTGTTACCTGATACTAGATGGGCCACGATGTCACCGCTACCGTGCAGTCGTGGGGAAGGCAACACAGCTTGACCAACGGTGAAATAAGCAAACATAATCCAAAGAAAAAGCGGCTGTCGTCAAGGAGGAATTGAAAGAGGAGGATTCAGGCAGGAAAGGATTACCTTCGATGGGACGTGGACCAAGGCTCTCGCTGACAGGAAGAAAACAAATTAACTACTTATGTTTGGAAGCCTTCTTTATAGCTTCCACGGATACAGGTAGGTCACTGCCCTTTCTGATGTAACCAGTGGAGGAAGGTTACATCAGCCATGAGTGACAGGACCTCGTAAACTGGATTTCTGAAGCCTCGTTTCCTAATTTGTACTAGGCCTGATTAGTTCTAGACTTATATTTCTCCTGTAATTCTCCATTCCTTCTGTTCTGCTTCAGTTGCTAGACTTTATTACAGTTTTAAGCGGTACAGATTGATGTTATTTGATGTTCATAGTTGCAGTAATAGCAAATTATGTACATTCACGTGGGTGACACATGTGGTATTTCATATTTGGATATATTACAATAATTCCATGGTCTTGAATCATATATATATATACTAGCCGAATGACCTCGGGCAACGCCCGGGGTTTACCCGATTAAATGCTTTTATTCAAATACAATTCGTTACAATTATAAATTGGCGCCCGTGGAAGTCATTCTTGTATAATATATAAATGAGTTTTTAAAAATTGTTAAAAAAAAAATGCATCGGGCCGGAATCGAACTCGGGGCGCCCGCGTGGCAGGTGAGCATTTTACCACTGAACCAAAAGCAAACGGTGACATAATAAGAACGCATGACGATGATAACTGTATATTATACCGTGACCAGAGGCGGCCGATGAGGAAAGACGGTCGTGACTATATATAGTAATATAAATTATATATATATGAAAAAAACAATAGAAAAAATAAAAGATAAGTGGGTCAGGTGTTGAATATTAAAAATAAAGATGGGAGAAATTTTTCTATTGTTTTTTTTCATGTGTTAAGCGTCTTTACGCAAATTTGGCCTTAAATACCCATTTCCTGAGTTCTCGGGAAGCATTGGGACCAAAAAAATTTGGTGGCAGTGGTTACAGCCTACTCCACGCTGACGAGCGCCAACAGCGCGAAACGGCGTCGTGGATGGGCTTTTCTTTGATTTATCAAGAAATTGGGTTGCCCAAATATCACGGAGCAAACTAAATAAACGTATAGTTTAATTTTGCTCCACAAGGTGGCGCTCTGCCGTCTAAAAGCACATGTGCTCGTGGTCAGGAGATGCCTTCTTTATTTTTAATATATATATATATACAACGCTAAATATCGGGAGAATGTTATTCATTCACTAGAGGGCGCACCTCTCCATTTTAGTTTCATTAAACACTATCCACAATCTCATTGGTATATAACAAAATTTATGATAAATAAATATCCCAAAGACCACCTTTGGAAATTAAGACAAAAATCCTGCCCGTATAACCATATTTTAGGTTTTGGCTCTCATGAGTAAAGGAGCGGCTTCGATTTAATAGATATCCATTTATATAAAAACGACGTTATGAAATTGTAGCCGTCCCTGTACTGAGGACTGGTGTTCTGAACCATGTTAAAAAGTCAGGCTTCTGTCTTAATTTAACAAAGCTGGTGTTTGGGTAAAAGCTCTGATTTTACGATTTCAATAAATAAAATCGAGAAATGCATTTTTAAAATTGTATTTTGAAGGTAAAAGTGTCCTCCTTTCTTTTATATGAATACCAACTTCTATCTCGAAAAATTCATATAAACAATGTTTTATAAATATTTTTTCTCAAAATCATATGGATTTCTGAACAATTGCTATTTTCATTATTACAAAAAGAATGTTTTAGATATGTATATTGATTGCGCAAAACGAGTTACGTATGCAGGTGGCTAGTTGATATTCTTGCAAATACCAATCATTATATGGAACCAGCGAAATGAGGTGAATGTTTCTATTCAGTATATGATTCCCCCATCATGTCAGCTATTGTTATTTAATACAGCTAAGTGGTGAAGAAATACTGAAAACAAAGCGCGAGGGGTGCGATGTCAAACCAGGTGATTGCTACAAAAGCGGAAGGAATTATGGAGCACCAGAAAATGGATGAACGATGTCGAATTAAACTTTCAATAGAAATGGGACGGAGGTCGCTTCGTTCGTAGATGGTTGTTTTGTAGAAGTAACCTAGGACTGCACAATGAGAGTTGGTATTGGATTTCTGTTAATGTCAATATTATAATAATGTATTGTAATGTATTTCTAATTCAAAGCTTATAATATATCAGGTGATATGGTTCATTATTTTTATATCTTAAGTCTTTTGCGATGGTATGTATTTTTCCTCTGCACAATGGGACAGTTTGTGGTATAGTCAAACACACGATTCTCGCAAACATACAATCCCTACTGAATCTATACTTGTCAAGATAACTTTAATGTTTGATACTCTGCTCCACCTAGCTGTACCTCTTCACACGTTGTTGTGTTTTGAACAAAAAGGCAGATTTGATACCTCAAACATAATCAAATGTAAATTTATAGAATACATCAAAATGAAAATTAACAATAAAATTATCCCATACATATATGTCATCTGAATATAACATATGTACAAAACATATATATACAAAGTTGATGGTAGAATTATATATGCTTCTTTACTTGTTGATTATTAAACAATATTGCAATTGATTTCAATTAAACAATGATTTTATAATTATTAAATACCATCATGAAATAAGTGATATTTGATGATTGATGGTGAACTTTATCTTAGTAGTGCTAGAATCCCAACTCTGATTTTAAAAAATAAACGCAAAAACCTTCCCGGATATATATCTAGTAATTTCCCTAATTTTAACAGCGATTGGATGTATGTTTTTTAATTCTATCGAGTACAGAGAGACACACATGTCATTTATATCCTTTTCTTTTATATCTATAAAAATGAAATCCAAAATATATGTTTGTTATCGCGTTGCGCAAAATCTATAGAATCAATCATTATGAAAGATCGCATGTAGGTAGCTGAAGAGTTCGTTTAACGTATAGGCTATTCAAAAAACTAAAAAGGTTAGTTAATGTGCTTTTTTAAAAATGTAAAACGAAAAGCATTAGTTCCAGTCTTTTACCGCTTGGCGGCAGCACTGGTCGCGACGATGAATTGACATTGATTGTTTAATAATTTTACACGTTGTTTGTTTACACGATGAATGTTAGCTTGTTTACACAATGAATTTTTTTAAAAGGTAAGAATATCCAATCGCCGTGAAGGGCTTTTGGAAGTTATTTACGATACTAGTTGGGAAGGTTTCTGATTTGAATTTGAAATAAATATCCGTTGCATTTGTATTTGCAAATTTTCTACTTTCACCCACAAGCAGCGCCTCTCGCGGATTCTGGTGAAATTACATTTTAATATTGTAAAAATGCTAAAATGTGTTCAGGAACAATAAATTTATTATTTAATTTGAGGATTCAGTAATATATATTCCAATGACGTTGTAAAAAAAACTTGGCATTTCAATCAGTTTCCTTTTCATCTATTAAATGAAATCTAAAATCGATGTTTGTTATCGCGTTGCGCCAAAATCTACAGAATCAATCTTTATGAAATATCGCATGTAGGTAGCTGAATGATTTCGTTTAACGGATTCTCCGCCAGGTGGGTAAACGGAAAGGTTGCGTAAAACGACAGCTTCTGCTAAGTAATTTGTTTTTTTCATGCTCTTTCGCGGTACTTTATAAAATAGAGTTATTTTCGTTTTGATTGAGGTGATATTGGTAAATTTATATCCTCATAATATGAGGCCAATTGTCATTCTTATCATGATTTATTTAAATTTACAGATATACATGCTTCACTCAACTTTTAGCTATGAAAATTTTGATTCGTGTGAAAATTATGCAAATCATAGTTTGGCAATAGATCTGGATTATGCTAAGAATATGATATCCAAGATTCAGTACAGAAGGGCCAAATCATAGATGTATAATTTTTATTTTATTACTGATATCTGGCATAGAGAGAAACCGGGACCTAGGGCCCCACCAGGCCAAACTACGCTCGAAGTCATGTATGGAAGGTGATTATTTGACAATTGAATGGTGCAATTTCGTGAGAAAATTATGCAAATTATAGTTTGGCAATAGATCTGGATATGCTATAGAATATGATATTCAAGATTCAGTACAGAAGGCCAAATCATAGATGTATAATTTTTATTTTATTACTGATATCTGGCATAGAGAAAACCCCGGGATCTAGGCCACCAGGCAAACTACGCTCGAGTCTATGTATGGAGGTGATATTCGACAATTGATTGGGTGCACTCTCGAAAAACAAGGATGACTGGGGGAAGAAATTAGAGTCATGGTTACTTTCTATAGAGCAAGGAGTTGAAAAATTAAATCGACGCATACAACAACTGGAGAATACTATGGAAAACACGGTAAAATTCTGTCTCGAAAAATTCTGAAAGGATCCAAGAAATTGAGAAAAGAATAGAATTCATGGAGATGAAAATGAAAGTAAGTAATTTATTTTTTATGGAGACGAAAAGGAAGAAAATGAACAATCGATGAATCTTTCGCAAAAATAAAACAGATAATTACGGATAATATGCAAATCTCGAAAAAATTAACATCCTTAAATGTGATCGATTTTCTAAAAGGCCGAGCGCACCCCTTTTGGTGGAAATACCCAAATATAAAGACAGAATAAAATTATTTAGTAATGCATTCAAGCTTAAGAATTCAAGGATTTACTTTATCATTACTCTTCACAATTCACATTTTCATACCTCATCCCAAAGGTTAGAAATAGTCGTTGTTTCTCCTTGAAATAAATTTTGATTTTTCGTTGAAAAGAAACACATGCGGGATAGCTTTCAATGTCGTTTTACAAACACAAGCCGCATTATATTATATTGCATTATAAATTACTTTATGTATTATTTTCGAACGGAAAAATATGTCCAGGGTAGCCTAGTGGACATGGCATCTTCCCGGTAAGCGGAACACTGTGGGTTCGATTCCCATCCTGGAAACTTTTATTTTTCCGTTTACTCATTACTCTTCACAATTCACCCTTTCATACCTCATCCCAAAGGTTAGAAATAGTCGTTGTTTCTCCTTGAAATAAATTTTGTTTTTCGTTGAAAAGAAAACACATGCGGGATAGTTTTCAAGTGTCGTTTTATAAATAAGGATTACACATTAAAAGTTAGAGAACAGCGTCGATTGTTGATTTAAAAAATAACTCTTGGCAAAAGAAATCTCATCTAAATATCGAAAAAGCAAGTTCATTGTTGGAAGTATTGTTTACCAAGTGATAAATGATAAGATCATGAGTTCAAAAGGAAGTGAGATATAGCAAAAAGACAGAATGAACTGAAGGAACACATGATATCTCTTTTTACAGGCAAGAAAATATCATCATTCAATCACATATAGCTAATAGGAATGGAAAACTAAACTACTTGATCGAACAACTATTAAACCTTGGTCACAATTATGTAAAAATTATGCATTGGAATATCAATGGTCTCTTTAGTATAAATTCCGTTTTACCTTTCATTGATTATTTGAAAGCAGTTTGAAATATTTGCTATAAAGAAAACTTAGTGCCAATTTGTTCTAAAACTCGAGATCGATGATTTCCAGGTTTACCAATCACTTGCTAGAAAAACCTCGGGTCGGGAAGAAGCTCTGAAGCCATCATTGTAGGAATTATAACAAAAACTAGCCGACGTACCCGGCTTCGCCC